TTTCTTTTTGTTATATAATCTCACCCCTACCACTTGCCTTAAAGTTTTATCTTTACTTGAGAAAACATATATTGACTACCCGCCGATATCGAAAGTAAACTTTAGCCACGCCTTTTCCTGTTTAAACGACACGACTGTTTTTCCAACGTTACTATATCGAAAGTAAACATAGCCAAATCAATCCCCCACCCCGTTTCCTTTTCAAAGCCAAGTTCAGTTATCCAAGATAATAAATATCGAAAGAAAACATTAGCCGAATCAAAACACGCTTACCCCATTTCCTTTTCAAAGCCAAGACTAATTCTCCAAAATCTTAAGTAAATATCAATCAAATCATACCCCCACCCCCATTTCTTTTTCAGAGCCGAGATCAGTTCTTCAAAATCAGTTATCCAACATATATCGAAAGTAAATATCAGTCAAACCATACCCCCACCCCCATTTCTTTTTCAAAGCCAAGATCAGTTCTTCAAAATCAGTTCTCCAACATATATCGAAAGTAAATATCAGTCAAACCATACCCCCACCCCCATTTCTTTTTCAAAGCCAAGATCAGTTCTTCAAAATCAGTTCTCCAACATATATCGAAAGTAAATATCGGTCAAATCATACCCCCACCCCATTTCTTTTTCAAAGCCGATATCAGTTCTTCAAAATCATTTCTCCAACATATACCGAAAGTAAATATCAGTCAAACCATACCGCTACCCCATTTCTTTTTCAAAGCCAAGATCAGTTCTTCAAAATCAGTTCTCCAACATATACCGAAAGTAAATATCAGTCAAACCATACCGCTACCCCATTTCTTTTTCAAAGCCAAGATCAGTTCTTCAAAATCAGTTCTCCAACATATATCGAAAGTAAATATCAGTCAAACCATACCCCCACCCCCATTTCTTTTTCAAAGCCAAGATCAGTTCTTCAAAATCAGTTCTCCAACATATACCGAAAGTAAATATCAGTCAAACCATACCGCTACCCCATTTCTTTTTCAAAGCCAAGATCAGTTCTTCAAAATCAGTTCTCCAACATATATCGAAAGTAAATATCAGTCAAACCATACCCCCACCCCCATTTCTTTTTCAAAGCCAAGATCAGTTCTTCAAAATCAGTTCTCCAACATATACCGAAAGTAAATATCAGTCAAACCATACCGCTACCCCATTTCTTTTTCAAAGCCAAGATCAGTTCTTCAAAATCAGTTCTCCAACATATATCGAAAGTAAATATCGGTCAAATCATACCCCCACCCCATTTCTTTTTCAAAGCCAAGATCAGTTCTTCAAAATCAGTTCTCCAACATATATCGAAAGTAAATATCGGTCAAATCATACCCCCACCCCATTTCTTTTTCAAAGCCAAGATAAGTTAGTTCTCCAACACATATCGAAAGTAAACATTAGCCCAATCGTACACCGTTTTTTTAACTTCCTCCAACGTATCAAGTAAAACAAGTCTAGAAGTAGTGTAAAAATATTTAGCACGTTTGTTTTGTTTCACTGTAATAACTTCTACAACAATGTCCTGTATTGAGAAACGTCGATTTGGAAAGTTCGTGAACGAATTGTGAAACTCAAAACGAAAAATGAAATTGAGCAATGATATGAAAATCGAAAATGGTATTCCAGTTTGCGGAAACTTCTGGGTTCTACCTTCTTTAGGCTAACTCTAAATCAAACTATAATCAGTAGTTACTAATGTAAGAAGGGGTGTCTCATTAGTGTTAAGTTTGCATATGAGACACACGCTCCTCCGTGGCAGACTATTTTTCTGTAACATTCCTAGCAGCAGTGTAGTAAATAAACAACGACAAGCATATAAGTAGCGTGCGTAGCATCAGGTAATTTTACTTTAGCATTAATTAAAAGTGTCAAATATTAGTTACGCTCATATCCATATCTAATTACTTTATCCTTAATTTTTAAGGAATTCAGTTTCTCTGACAATTAAATAATCAGTTAGGCATTTGAAAATATTATTTACATCAGTTGTAAGCGCACTACGTATTAAATAAATTATTAAGTCTAAAATATTAGGTTAACTTATAAGGCATAGAATTGTGATGTATATGACAATACAAGATTTGACACGATTAGTAAAACGTTTTTTATAAGATGTGGTTACAAATAAATAATAATTTAAAAAAAAATGTTTAAAAATATTGGCCTACCGATAAGATTTTTCCAAAAAAACAAAAACAACACCTATTGAAAAAAGCACTTGTTTTAAACTTAGTAACCACTTCTTTGTTAAGTTCCTTAAAATTTCCTTAAAAAATTCCCCGATAATAATAATTAATGAACCATTGCACTTGAATTAGACCGTTTAAATCAATACCCGTTGATTATCTTGATATTATCGCGAGAAGAATTTCTCGGAAATTTCCATTGTGTACATTCACTTCTCGCTCGCCTCGGGAAGTATAAAATAGATCTATAACTAGATCTAGGTCGCGCGTTCAATTTCCTCGGAAAGTTTGCATTCGCCGTACGTCGCTGTACACTACAACACAGCGTTAGACAGAATATATTTATGTTTCTTTAAAATGTGTACACCACATAGAAACTAGAACTACTATTGACATTCAACCAGTGTTTTTAGACTAAAACTTGGCAAGGTGGTATACAATCAGCCAGGAGCGTAGCGAGGGGGGGGGGGGGGGCGGACCGCACCGGGTGACACCATTTAGGGGGGTGACACCAAGGCAAAAAATAGCAAAATATATAGAGAAAAACTCGAGGGGGGGGGTGCAAATCGAAAACTTGAGGGGGGTGCAAATCGAAAGTTTGAGGGGGGGGGGTGCAAATCGAAAATTTGAAAGTTCGTCCCTGGGAAGGTTCTCTATGCCTCTGGGGAGGGGGGGGGTGTGACACCATTAAGTGCCGCACCGGGTGACACCCGACCTCGCTACGCCACTGCAATCAGCAAACAATGATATCGAACCCTCGCGTTGTGTGAAATGTATACTGATTAGTAATTACTGATTTTCTGTTCTTGTACTGTGGGTAGGAACTGGGGCTATACGGAGATCAGTATGCTCTTTTTAATGTAAAAAAAAATAAATAAAATAAATAAATGTAGAAACACGGAAATGTAAGCATTCACCTTGCTTTTTAAAAAGCGTCTAGATCTAAGCCAATTTTAAAATGTTTTAACACATTTAATTAACCCAGGCATCTTCAGATAAAAAAAATAGTGTTGGCTCACTACATAAACAATAATTTATTGAATAAGTTGATACACAAAGGCCTATAACTTTGATTTAAAACCAATAATCTAGATAAGACAAATCACCAATATTAGGTTTAAGGTTAAAAGTAACAAATATTCAATATTTTATAACTCATGAACAGGCCTAGACTAGACGTAACGCCTCGCCTCTTAACACAAATATGTAGTCTTCATATGAGTGAATGAGTTGGACTACTTAGCTAAGTGTTTTGAAAGAAATATCCTGATTTAGACGACTAAGTCAAGGATAGGCTTTACAATTAGACGGCTCACCCAGAGGCGTAGCGAGGGGGGGGGGGGGCGGGGGGTGCGGACCGCACCGGGTGACACCATTTAGGGGGGTGACACCAAGGCAAAGAAATAGCAAATTATGTGGAGAAAAATTTGAAAGGGGGGGGTTGCAAATCGAAAATTTGAAAGTTTGTCCCTGGGAAGGGTCGCTACGCCTCTGGAAGGGGGGGGGGGGGACACCATTAAGTGCCGCACCGGGTGACGCCCGACATCGCTACGCCACTGGGCTCACCATCAAAGTTTTATTCAGTACGTTGACGTCACTCACAACATCGGGTCGGTATTTTCTGGCTCATGAGCCGCTGTCGCCTGCCTGAGTGGGTACTCACGGGCTCACCCATGACGTCACTTAAGCCGTCCGTCAACGGTGTTGTGACTCCTGTTGTCACCTCCTCAGCCTCTCCGATGAGTGGTGTCATCACTGAGCACAGAATGACACCCCACTTTACTGTTGGGTATTGTCATGTATTTAACGACCACTTCCCACATCCCTTTAAAACGAGCTATTATTCAATGTTTTTTGGATTGTCTCCCCTCTCCCGCCATTATAGGGCAATGTTAGTCTGCATTGAACGATGTGTTTAACGATGTGCACATGTTATGAGCATACAACACAAACACTTGCATCCACCTGGCTCATAGTATTTTTTATTAACAACCTTCATACTACTTCATGGTGTTCTGGCACTTAAAACATTATTACGATCCTCATATTCAGAGTTTCTTCCAGTTTTCTACCGCCCCCCCCCCTCCTCATCCGAATGAAAATATACTTTTACCAGTGTTACCCCCCCCCCCTCCCGGAATATTTTGTCCCCCCCCCTGAGAAAAGTCTGAAAGAAACACTGCTCATATTGTATTACATTTCGAGGAACTCCTCCGCTCCCCCACTCTCAATTCTGTAGACTATTCGTACTATAACATTTTTTGTTGTGATTTGTAAAAAAATAAATAAATACAGAAGTAAATAAAAAAAGAAGAAAAATAAATAAATAAAATAAAATCTCATCATTTTAAAGAAGCTGGATTTCTGCATATTCAAAAGTAAAAACCACAGAGACAGAACCTTGTGTTTATTTATAGTCATATTATTATAACGGAATGCAACACAATGATAAACCACCCCTACCTCGTTTGTTACAATATGTGAACAATCCCTTGTTTGTTAGCCTACACATTAGCAACACGTAAACGTGTACTATATTTGCTTTAATATAGTTTCCTGACTATCATGATTAAAAACAACTTCAAATGTGGCTCCCTGAAAAAGCATATGCAGGCCTGATGTCAATTTGTGTAACTCTCTTCTAAGGCTTATACTGCAAACGGCAATTTCTTTTAAAAAAAAATATGAAAACATCATGGGCCTACTCAACGCCCTTTTCCGGGAAAACACAATTTCCCGGGAAACAGCGGTAAAAAAAATCGCAAAAATTAGGTCAGTGCGTTACTTTCATTTTACGCGAAAAAAAAAAATTAGTATCAGGCAGTGTTGTGGTTGGGGGGTATATATTGGTATTTTACTCAAGTAAACTTTCGAGCAGTTTAGTTTTAAATGATTTTTTGATGAGGGAGTTTGTAATTTGTAAACTAAACTTTCAAATTTAGTCAGGCAGGCGTAGTCTACATTACACTGGATAAAAAATATTGCCACTGTTCAAACACTGAGAAAAATTAGGGCTAGTTCTCCAAGTTATATTTTTAACTACTCGATTCTCAGCTGTTTAGTTTACATAAAAAGATAACGAATATGGTAGGTATTAAGTACGACTGCTACATAGTACATAATATTATCTAGATCTCTAGATCTAGATTCTGGTTCTAGTTGGTAAGTAAAGTAGATCTGTATTTTATATATTAGCCTATAATTACATTAATTAGGCCTAGGCCTATAAATTAATAATTAATATTAACAACTCGACAAGGCAGTCCCGAGTTTGTGTTGTAGATAAATTATTTTATTCTAGATCTAGATCTAGAATCAAGATCTAGAACAATAACTATCTAACTCTAGCTAGGAGATTCAGCCTACGTTTATTTTTATTTTACTTTATTTTATTTAGATCTAGATTCTAGATCTAGAATCCAGGCCTAGATCTAGATCTAATCTAGATCTAGATCTACTTACTAGATCTACTTAGGCTACACTTAAAGACTTAAACATTAAAAAAAAAATAATGATTAGGCCTAGGCCTACAAATTAATAAATTAATTTTTATTCATCTGGTAAACTGAAAAAGTATTGTATACCTTTGATTCTGCTAGTTTTTTAAAAAATAAAAATGTGATTAAATTTAATATCGCTGTAGTGAACTGTAGTCTGTAGTCATCCAACAATTTAAAATTTACTTTTATAAAAACAGGCGAATGTTCTGAGCGAATCGCTTAGGAGGTTCCCAGCCATCAAGAATAAAGTTCCTAGTGTACAGTAAATGTGTTTACATGATCCCAGCAATGCCAGATCCTCTTAAAAAAAAACTTTTGCTAAAGATGGAACCTTCAGAACCACCACCTTCCAGTGACAAAGAAATGATAAAAGTTACATTTGTTCACAAGGATATCCCACCTCTACTTGTAAGCACCAACTCAGATGAACCCGTGACATGCCAGGCAGTAATTCTCCAGTGCATGTACCATGTTAGTGATAAAATTCTAAAACCAAATGAACAGATGAATTTTCCTTTATATTTTCCTGTGTTTGGATTAGTAAAAGCCCCAGAAGAAAACTTGTGGCTTGCTTCGACGCATACTTTTGAGAAATCATCAGATAAAGATAGAATATACAAGTTTAAAGTGCGGTATTGGCCTCAACTGAAAAGTGAATATTTTAGCAAAAATGCAAATATCATGAGTGAATACTTGTTTCTTCAAATTTTGGATGACTTTCTACATGGAAATTTAGCTGACAACCGTAAGTTTGAGGATAGAAAACTATTTCAGCTGTTGACGGTTGCTTTATTAACACCTAGTCAACTTCCATATGACAATACTGTCAGGGTCAATCATAACTTCAGGGGAAGGAGTTTCAATTTCTTAAACATTAGCTCAAAGTGTTCCAAGTCTGTTAGTTCTCGTTTAATTTCAACATTTCTCATTGATCACTACTACATAACTGTAAGTCTCAAGAAAGGAATAAAAAAATGGAAATCTTCGAACAATAGCCTTGGTTCTTGGAAGTATTTCTTTTTATCCACTGTTTTCGAAATCACGTCAAGCCTTTGTTTCGAACAATATGAGGCAACAGCTTTAAACAAATATAACAAAGAAGACATAGTGACAGTTTGTTTTCATCTGTTTGAAAATCATCAACCTGCTCTTTATTATGGAGAGGTAAGAAATTGCAAACTATTTAACTAATCCCATACATTTTCTTGTAGTGTGTGATTGAGTGAATATTAAAGTAATTAATAAGACATTTTATGTTTTATATACCAGCACTAAAAAAAATAATTCATTATTTCCCTTTATGAGTAGGAGTTACAGTTCCTTTTATCAGAAATTCTCAACATAAAACTTATTCGCCCTAAAAACCTCAAGTTAAAGTGTTGGGAAATTTTGATTGAGTTAAAAAACGAGCCTCCTCGGGTAAGAAAATTTCTACTTTCTGTTTATTAACATTAAGCATAGATTTACAGAACATCATAGCATTTTTTCAAGTTCGTCATATGTTTGGAAATATGTTACCAAAATAAATTGGTACTTTAATGTTCAGTTTAAAATAATAATTTCTAAAATAATTCTAACCTTACTCTTTACCTAATATAAAAACTTAAATTCAACCAACCAAAGATAAGAACCAGTGTTTCTGTGTATAACCATTTGAGTATATCACCTTGTGTATGTTTATGCTTTTGTAGTATGTGTGCTAACAAGACAACATATTTTATCCAGCGTTTGCGCTTGACAGAGGAGGGAGCAGCAGAGTCTCTTATCACCCTGATTCAGGGGTTCTACAACCTCTATGTTCGTTACGACCATGTCCTAATTAGTGAACTACAAACAGCAGAGAGTAAACTTAGCACTGAGTTGCACAGCTTTGGACCTTTAAAGTAAGATTCTAAAAAAACTTATATATTAATTTTCACTGCCTCTAGAGTATTACTATAACGAATTATTTCAATGTGAAGTATCTGGGCATTAAGATTCTTTTAAAAAATGCGATACACCCATAAATAAAATATATATAACTTTAGTGAAAATTTGTATCTGTGAAAGTCATAAGTTAGAGTACTTAAAAAGTATGCTAAATAATTACACAAACCTGCCTGTATAAATGGAGCTAAAAAGATTGGCTGGCCAACTTTTTTAAAATTAAAAAAAATTCTTTTTTCATTCAAAGTTTTTGTTGTTTATCATATTCAACATTTAAGCATACTTACAAGTAGTCTGCTAAACCAAAAGTCTCAAGTTCAAATCCTTAGAACATCCCTGAGTCCACCCAGCTCTGATGAGTACCTAACTCACGTTAGTGAAGTAAAGGTGGCTGGGCATGGTGCTGACCACACTATCCCATTCATATATTGAGGTCACAGAAACAGGTGCACTCTACTTCACTTGCCCCATGGACAGTCAGGTTTAAAAAGGAAACCATACTTTACTTTTACAATTAAATAAAAAGAAACAATTCAATTTCCTTCATTACATTTTTTCCTATATAGAGAAACAACCGCTAGGAAATATCTGGAGAAGCCAAAGAGTCCAGGTGATCACCATAGCAACAGGTTTCTCATCCATGAAAGTCTGAGTCACTTTGGGCAGTATGTTGTTATGGTGAAAAAATACAAAACAACTGAAAAGACCCCAACGTTTGAGAGTTTTATTATAGAGATGAACTGTGAGAAAAGGCTGTATCTGTCTGACCGTACCACGTCCTTTACTTTTGGAACTTCTAGCGAGCTGATCAAGCACTTAAGAGAGAAGTTTGGATTCCAAGAACACCCTAGGCATCGTAGGTATTTTATTACAACTAGTTAACCCATATAGTAGATTTTTTTCTTAGTTAAATATTATTTTATATCCTTAATTTATTACAAGCTTGCTAACTTAATTATACATTGTATTCATTTTATTGCCTTAATATTGTTTAATATTTCAAATTAATTAACTTATTTAAACACTATTGTTCAAGTATTTTACTTATCTTTTGTGTTAATTAAAACTTTTTTAAAGTAATATTTTCTCTATCTATATGCAAGACATATAATTGATTTTCTATTACAGTTAATTTTTTCTCTTATTCAATGTTAGATTGTTTTTTTGGTCTTTTTATTTTAAAAAAATTCAATCAACAAAATAGAGATGTTAATTTAATTGTCCCATTTTCCTGTGAAATATTAGATACTTCAGTGGCAGAGCTTGACAAAATCTTTCACGTGGATTTTATTCAACCGTACACAATAGAAGACTCAGACGACCGAAGCATGGCCAACAGTGATCCAGGGATTTACCTGCGTGAAGATCTAACAGATAAAACACCTATACAAGGTAAATAATGTGACTTGTTGGCCCTCATTAACATAAACTGTGTAAATACGAATGCTGAAGAATTAAGGGGAGACTACTATTTAAGTTAGGCTAATAAAAAAAAAAATTAGCATATTTTAAATTAAACAAGGAAAAAAAAGAAAAAATGGTTATGGAAAAAGGAGGGTGATGGAAATCAAACAGAATTATGCACACTTCTCTATTTTGGTGATGAATGATAGAGAACAATAATTCTTTTAAAGGAAGTAGTATTTCTTGAGTCAATATTTAATTCAGTTAGTGGGGAAAAAAATTCTCTTTTTAAAAGCGAGACAAATTAAAGAATAAATATTTAAAGTGCAACTTGGTTTTTAAAAAAGTGCTTACTCTTAACAAGGAAGAAAGAAAAGTACATCAAATAGTCTGAAGTAATGTGCACAGTATGTGATTTGTTTTAATTTGACATAGTTACTGTAACAAACTTGTTAAAATAAAAAAAAGTGTTACATTAGCATAGGAATAAAATAAAACCCCACTTTCTGTTGACTAATAATGTGAAGATTGTAGATGAGTCCAAACACTATTTAAACTTTTGAGAGACAATACATTATTATTTAGACCAAAGACAATTGAGACAATTGAGACCACAGATAACTGAGACCATCGATGAAACTAAAGACAGACTTGAGACCATTGATGAAACCAACACAATTGAGACCATAGCTGAAACCACATACAATAAAGACCATAGCTGAAAGCACATACAATTGAGACCATTGATGAAACCACATGCGATTGAGACCATTGATAAAACCACATACAATTGAGACCATTGATGAAACTAATGACAATTATTGAGACCAGAGAGAGTTAATGAGATAAAAAAAACAACCCATAACTGTAGAACTTTATGTAAACATTAACTGTAGCAAAAAAAAATAATTAAACATGTTGCTTTGTTTCAGTAGAATGTAAGATTTTCTTTTTAATTTTCCAGACAAAAACCCACTAGTCAAAAAGTACTCAGTAACCTTAAAGGGACAAAAGATGATGCTGGTTGAGCTACAAACAGAAAATGGAAAGATTGCTGAGGTTTGTCTGCCCTTAGTTTTCTACTCATTTTCTGCCATAAGTTATCTACCTTTAAATATGTGACACAACATTCTTCTATTATTTGTTGTCTGCCCATCTATGTGACACAACATTTTTTCCTCTTTGTTGTCTACCCTTATTTTTAACACATCATTTTTCTACTCTTTGTTGTCTACCCTTATTTCTAACACATCATTTTTCTACTCTTTGTTCCCTACCCTTCTAAAAAGTAACGCTATTTTTTGGGTCACTGTCTTAGCTTTTTTTAGCTAGTTCCCCATATTATTATTTTTTACATCGCTGCTCTATTTTAGTGGTTGACTGTCTTGTGCCTAAACCTTAACTTTAATCTTGGCTTAACCCTAATCCATTTTTTAACAGTGGTACCAGCAAAAGATAAACAACCAATACTTCATTGCCACATCAGTCTTACCAATATCCTCTTTTCTTTCAGTCATTTCGAGAATCAATTGGTGTAATCCACAAGCTAAACAAGCTACATCCTGAAAAATTCCTCAAATTCTACGGCTCGGTGTGGGAAAAGAAGCTGTGTGTTCTCATGGAGTACGCCCCCCAACATGACCTTTTGACCTACATATGCCAGCAGCCTCAGACAGTGGCGCAGAAAGTGGACATTATGAGCCAGATTGTGAAGATTTTCTCCTTTATTTTTGTACGTTGTTTTCCTATGTGGATACAGTCTTTCTCTTCATTAGATATATTTTGTTTTTAAATATATTTTGTTGGGGGGGGGGAGGTGAATGAGGTTAAAATAACCTGAAATTTAGAAATGATACTGTAAAAGTTTTAAATTAAAGGCACAAATTATTGATAGGGTTAAACTGTTTTTATAGCATTTTAACTTCAGAAAATATAAATACAATTGAAATAATGTTTTTATCAAATTTTTTTTTTTCCAATTTAATTATAAACAACTATATAAAGCTAGCAGGGTTTAACAATAGATTATTTTCTTTTCTGTAGGGTTAGATACTTTTTTTTTGGAATAAACTCTTTACAGAAATCAATAATTGTTGACAATATTAAATTATGTAACTCTTTACTTAGCAATCATATTAAATAATGTAACTCTTCCATTAGAAATCATATTAAATAATGTAATTCTTCAATTAGGAATCATATTAAATAATGTAACTCTTCAATTAGGCATCAAACAACAAACTGTTCCATGGATGTTTGAGGTTGAGGAGGTTTATGGTTTTTGGAACTGAAAATTCTGATATTGTGATCAAACTGGGAGACTCTGGGATCTCATCATACCTCAACAAAAATCCTCAAAAATGCAAACAAGACAATGATGAAAGGTAAGCTCATTTTACAACCCTTAAAATATGAAATAAATAAAGAAATATTTTATATTTAGCACTAATCTAATTACATCTCTACTACTAATTCATTTATTAAACTGTAGTACTTTTTTGTTTGTATACAAATATTATACATATGACATACACAGTTACTATTTGGCATCAATGTTATATTAATGTATAATATGCAAATTAAGTCTTTAATCTTTTCTTAAATAAATCTGCAAATGTTAATGTTTTTTTTTAACTGTGAACACACAATTTAAACAAAAAAAAGTAATTAAACATAAAGCAATAAACACCTTACTGCCAGTTTTATTATCCCATGATTTAAAACTATTTGATTTTCAGAGCCTGCATGTAGCACACTATGTTATTTCAAATGACTTTTTGTGTTTGTGTGCTAATTGTTTATGGTGAAATTTCTCCTCCTCTCCTGTAGACTACCCTGGCTGTCCCCCGAGAGGCGTGGCAACTACAGTGCGATCACATACGAGTCTGAGTGTTACTCCATTGGGACAGTGTTGTGTGAGGTTCTGTACAGGTCGGATCAGTTCCACGAGATTTTAAAACTGGGAGGCCCTGAAAAGGTAGAGAGCTTTATTTATATTCCCCCTACTGGCCCTTCTTTAACATGAGCTTGCCCTTCTTAATGTGTTAGCCCTTCTTTAAACATAAATATGTCTGCCCTTCTTTGTGAGAAAGGAATCAAACAACATTATTAGAACAAAGTTATAATTTTACATTTGCATTTTAAATTGTAAACCTTTTAACCTAAGCCATTTAACTTTAATGCATTTTTCATTTAATGAATGCTTTAAAAATGTTTTTCAAATTATATTTACAATACACAAAAATAATGATTTAATTTTTCTAATGATTAATTGAGATTAAAAATCCATACAATAGTGGGGAATAACTCGGATTTATTTGATGTGTTTTCTACATAATATGATAAAATAGATATATATCAACATCAAGTATTACATATTTTAAATAGCCATTTTGCTACTTACAGCTGTTGGATTACTTCAATGAACACAGTTACCTCCCCAAGCCACCAATCCTGACAGATGTTGATGATGTGGATAACTCTTTAGTGCCCCAAGCTAGAGAAGTTCTGGAGGAAGTGTGGGATAATGTCATCATGAAGTGCTGGTCCCCTGAGCCCATTGATAGACCTACAACAAATTACCTTCTTCAAACCTTTAATGGTAAATACTGTTTCATTCACAATATAAACAGTTCCCTAATACGATAGACCAGGGGTCTCCAAACTACGGCCCGCGGGCTGCATTCGGCCCGCCAAGGTCCTCTCATCCGGCCCGCGGAGATCTTTTTGTCCACGGAAAAAAAACGTTTTTTGGTGATGGCTGAGGATCTTAGCGCAGAAAAATCAAAGACATGCCTGGAAAAAGCTGGCCCCCGAACTGAAAATTGATAGTTAATTCGGCCCTCGGACTGAAAAGTTTGGAGACCCCTGCAATAGACTATAGATGCTTTATTTTCTTCCAACTTTTTAAATAGTAAAACATTTTCAAACCATGTGTGTCAAATTTAAGAGATTTAGTTAGCAGTTTTAATAACATTCAGGGAGTTGTTTCTATAGGTTATAATTTACTGAGTGTTTTAATATCTTTGTTATATGGTGCGAGGTGTTTGAGCTGTTAAGTATAAAATTTAGATGTGTTTAAAATAAACATGCATCAGGTCAAGCTGTCAGTATAGAGCTGTTGAGATTTATACAAGAAAACAGAACTGTGTTACAATTAGATGTGTGGTTTATAAAAAATATGGATCAATTTTAACAAAATTAAACATTTGAAAACAAAATATACTGTTACTTTATTAATTAGCATGTTTTGTAAGCTTAACATTTATTGTATATTTTTTTATTCACTCAGGGATTAAAGAAAAAGCTGGTCAGATCAAAGGAGACACTCACATTGAAGAGTTTAAGAAAGTCATCTATGACATAGGTATCAAAGATGAAATAACTAAGCCAGGTTAGTCAACATCAAATATAGATGAATCTAATAAACTTTAAAAGAATAACTATTAAACTTATGAAAAGATGAAAACATGTTTAGTCTTTCTCATGGATGAAATGTATGTTATGGCTTTTCTGCAAATCCATGATATTTTCATAGTTATTTGAGGGGAAGATAAGGCTCGTAAGCTCTTCTAGGAGAGACAACTCCAAAATCAACTAACTGCTTCCTTGTAGTTTGTTCTTGGTTGGACAAAGGCTATAGAAGCAAATCCAATGGCCTCAATGGTGCATAATCAGTTGACACATATAGTTAATTGTGTTGGAGGGGATTTCTTCCAACACTAAAATTAAGAGCGAAGAAGAAGGGTGAAATGAATTTAGTGTAGGCCTACACAATTTAGTCTGATTTGTTTTTAGATCACGTGTGAAAGAATGTGCACTTATGTGTAGACACAAATTTTAAAACAGTGTACCCGTAATTATTTGTTGTGTTCTTGTATGCCCTACACATTTATGGTACAAATTTATTACTTATCTAATTTTGAACCTTATTGATAATTAACTCGTATTTATTACATCTCTAATTCAACTATCTATTCTATCAGGACATAAAGAGCCTACCAAGGTAGAACTAGAGGAAATGTTAATGAACAAATCCAACCACATGTACCTAGTCCCTAAATGCATCAAGTGTAACGAAAAGCCTTTTGGCCAGGTACTTCAAATGTTGAAGCTTTAAACACATATTAATTTTGCAAATTTTAAAAGAAAAAAAGTGAATTTGGTTCATTAATTTTGTTCCTCAAAATATTTTTATTAGCCTGTCTTTTAATAAAGGCCTTTAAAATTAATCGTTATGCTAATCATTTTTAAAAAGTTATTTTACTATTCTAATGTTTTAATAATAATATTTTTGTAGTAATATTTATTAGTTAAATGTTGTTATTTATGGAGTCTTTTATTTTTGATGACTTATTTTTTACATATCTAATTTTTTATTTAGTTTATCTATTTTAATGATTTTTGTATGAGCTATGTTTTTTTTTTTACTAGGGCTACTTTGGAGCTGTGTTTGAAGGCAAAGTGCGCACACCAACTAGGAACTTACAACAGGTGGAGAAAGACTACCAGTGGAAGAGGGTGGCCATTAAAAAATTTAAAAAATCAAAGAACTCTAAAGACAACGAAACAATTTTTGTGAAAGAAGTTTTACTGGCCTGTGACTTGCAGCACCCCAACATTGTCCAAGTTCTCCATTTCTCTTATGATAAGTCTGGTTAGTATTTTTTGTTTTTGTTTTTTTACTGGTAGAACTACACTACAGATACAATAACACATGTTGGTAATTTTTTTTTAATATAAATACTACACCATACATACAATCACACATGTTAATATTCTTTTGAAATTGGTTTTTTGATTTTACACTGCATGTGTTGTTGTGAAGTTCTAAGTTAAATTTAGATTTAAGTTTGAACAAAGTTTTCTGTCAAAAAATTTTGGGATGATACACATTTATTTTATAGGTACTCTTTTTTTTTCCTTTTTTTTAATAACAAAAAAATAAATTATTAGTGATGCTTCCCTCTCTGTCATGCTGACAGCTTCAGGATAAATAATTTGAAAATTATTGCTCCTATGTTTTCAAATTTTAATCACATTCATTTATTTAAAAAGCAGAACTTGTCAAATTTTTATCGAGTATTTTGTTTTGTTTTGCAGATAAAAGTTATGATAACATAATGTTGATTATGGAGTTTATGAATAAAGGAAACCTCAGTCAATATGCTAAGGAAAATCAGGAAAGTGCAAAGCTTCTGAAAATTTGTTTGGATGTCACTGAGGTATTAAATGTTACATTTTATGACCTGCTATATACTTATGGAAAGCAACTTACATAGGCTACATTGGGATTTAAACAACAAATTTAACCAAAAATTAATAGTGCAGTATCTTTTACTATAAACTATTAATTCTCAATAAAATTACTTTTATCAGAAAAAGTATGTAAAGATTGGTCATATTTTTTGTTTCAATTTAAAAGTCCTCTTTCCTATAAATATTTTTTCTTTTGCTTTGTAAATATGTAGGCAAGTCTGTATCAGTTTAAATAAAAATGCTTATGGTAATGGTCAAACATTATTGAAGAAAAGAAATGCAGTTATAACTTTAAAGCACCCAATACCATGATTGTTTAAATCTGTGTTTATTGACAAAAAAATGTCATACTCTCCAAAAATCTTGCATTATTGTAAGGATTTCCCTAATCTGTGAAAAACTTATTTTCAATAAATCTCTAATCTTTTAACGATTCCTATTTGATGGAAACCTTTAAATTATTTATTTTCAATGATACCCTAATTTTTGAAGGATTCACATTCATTGATACACTTTTAATAATGTATCATCAATGGTACCTTAATCTCTAAAGGAGTTACCTACAATGATATCATAATTTTAAAACTTCAAATTAATACCTTAATCTTAATAGATTTTCGTTCTAAATGTTTTTTTTTTCTGTTTTGCAGGGAATGGTTTATCTCAGTGGAAAAGATATTGTTCATCGAGATCTTGCAGCGAGAAATATTTTATTGGAAGAAAAACCAAATGGGGAAATTGTGGGAAAAGTTTCAGACTTTGGATTGGCTCGACGAATGGAGGACGATTATAAATTTTATAAGAATCATTCATCCGTAGCACTACCCTTTGCATGGTAGGATTATTTTGACTTCATTTATTTTAAAAACTATATTTTATTTATTGTAAATTATCTATACAGCATTGTTTTTAAATGTGCAAAATGAAATGAAATTTTAAAAAATTACCTTTAATTTTAAACTTCAATTTGTTTATTATTTTTTTCATTCTTTACCTGTTTGTTATTGTAGTTTAGGCTTTGTAAGAAAACAATTAATTAAAAAAAAAGTGTCAAAATAGTTAGGGCTATTGTGAGGGCTAGGATTAGGGTTGGGTTTGGATTAAGTGTTTTTTTTAGCATGAATTTACTAAAACATCTAATCTGTTTGTTATTTATAAACAAAATAAATACTAAAAGTAAGTTTGAAAATTAAACTTCGCTGTATTCCTTTGTGAAGTTTCCTAGGGGGTCGGCGTGGTTAAGTCGGTAAAAGCTTACGGTTGCTAAACGGAAAAGTCTCGAGTTCGAACCCTCGGGCAGATGAGGCGCGTTAGCTGGGGACAGCCACTCTTCTAGGAGAGACAACTCCAAAAATCAAACAACTGCTGCCTTGTAGTTTGTTCTTGGTTGGACAAAGGCTATGTAAGCAAATCCAAAAAGAAAAGCAGGCTGAAATTATACTCAATGGCTTCAATGGTGCATAACCAGTTGACACGTATCCTTAATTGTGATGGAGGCGTGGTCGAGTCGGCAAAAGCTCATGGTTGATAAATTAGAAAAAAAAAGTCTCGAGTTCAAACCCTCTGGCAGATAAGGCTCGATTCCTTCCAACACTAAAAATTAAGAACGAAGAAGTTTCCTTTTTTAATAATAAACAATGACCCTATAAAACCTTTCTAAAACTAAACTTTGACCCCATTTCAGGATGCCCCCAGAGTGCCTGGATTCAGACGGCAAGTTCACCAGTAAAGGAGATGTCTGGTCCTTTGGTACTGTCATGTGGGAAGCCTTCTCTAGCGGCAAAAACCCTAAAGAGTACTTGCCCATCACCAGATCCACTAGTAATCCAATGCAAGTGCTGATGAAAAAATACACAGACGGCTGGCGCCTGAAACCCAAGCATCCTGTGCACCCTTCCATAGTTGAGGTGATGAAGAGTTGCTGGCATTTAACTCCCAAGGAACGGCCACCGTTTGTTGAGCTGCGGCAAAAATTAAAGAGCTTGCATGAATCAAATATTAGCTGAAAGTTGTTCTGGAACTTGTATCAATCTAATCTTGATTACCAGGTATTAAGCTGTACGAATCAGAAATTCGTTACCAGGAATGAAAAAGCTGACATGAAGAAAACATTTCTTACCAAGTGTGAAAAAACTTGTGTGAATGATATTCATTACAAGGTAGAAGAACTTACAGAAATCCCCAAACTCCTGAGCTGGTAGTAAAACGATTGACGAATCAGAAATTCGTTACCAGGAATGAAAAAGCTTACATGAAGAGAACATTTCTTACCAAGTGTGAAAAACTTTTGTGAATGATATTCATTACAAGGTAGAAGAACAAATCCCCAAACTCCTGACCTGGTAGTAAAACGATTCATGAATCAGAAATTGATTAGCTACAGCTTGCATTGCTTGAGTTTGCTTTCTGCTGAAATTCTGGAGCTGCCGCTAAATTTTCACATAACAAATAAATAAAATTATGAACTGAAACCTATTTTGGATACTTAAGCTCATAAGTTAATGAATTAGACGAGCAGGGTCACTGTACCAGAGCAGACTCTTACGTATTACGTCATTAATTTCGCAACAGCTGAGATTGAGTTTCCTCAAAAACATGCAGCCAACATTGGATGAAGAAAAAAAGCTGCATGGTATCATTAGTTTGGAATAAACAGATAAACTCTACTTCATCTGCCATGTAGATCATCATATCATATGAATGAACTTTAGGTTTTACTAATCATTGCCAAGTTTTTCAGGATAAAATCAGTTTAAGATTTAGGAGATCTACTTTATTATCTTACTTAATTTTGAGTAATATTTTAGTGTTTTTACACTCATTTAACACAACACAAAAAAGCTTATGTTAGGATTAGAGTTGATTTAGAAGTTTATCAACGGTATAGCATAACACACCTGTCCAAGGTGCAGAACTAAACTTGATGGTATATTTTGTTGTTGCTTATACCTTATTTGTGTTCTACTAAATATTTATTTGTCTATGCCCTCTAATACCTTGTGTAATGTGTACAAAAATTATGGGCAGATGATTCTAGAATCTGCTCTAGTAGTCAGTACATATATACACATTGTTGTTGGCACAATCACATACAACTTCTTTATAATGTTACGTTATAAACATTAAAATACATGTTTTAATGTATATAATTAATACAACCCCTACATTCTACAATAGTGTAAAGTGTTGTTAGCACTGTATAAGCTACTGCTACATAATATGCATGCATTTAGTTTGCTGGTTATAATTTATTTATTGATAAAATATCGTCACTCTGTCGAAAATGTACGAGTATAACATTTGTATATAATAAAGGAAATCTCTATGATATTATGTCTTGTTTAAAAATTTGTTGTGCAGTAGTATGGGGGGGGGGGGGGGGGGGGGGTTGGGGGAGTACAGTAGATTTTTAAGCAATATAAACCTTTCTTTTTATTTTTTGGTATATGGATAAAGTCCTTTATACTTTGTATATGAATATATGATGAAGTACTGAGGTGTAAAACTGAAAAGTCAATGTTTCATGCGATTTTTGTGCAGGATTACAATACTTCCTGTATACTCTGTATATGAGAATGTAAAAATGCCATCCCTCTTACTGTTGTATGAGAAAGTTTAGGGGAGATCAATCTGTCTTTATTGTTAAACGATTTAATTTTTGTCTATCATGCGAGTTGTCTTAAAGAAAATGCAGCTTTGACAAACTGATGGATACATGAATGCTGAGTGAAAACTGATGGATACGTGAATGCTGAGTGAAAACTGATGGATACGTGAAAACTAATGAAAACACCGAGGTAAATTAAATGAAACTATACGAGCCGACCCGCGGCGTATCATACGCCGCAATATAGTTGTTTTATTTTCTGTTTTTCAGTAATTCATAATTTGTGAATTCGACAGTACCAATGCTGCCACTGAAAATATTTGCTTTAAAACACTATCAGTAGGTCGTTAAGGACGATACTAGCCCCGCCCTCCTTTCCCCCAACCACTACCCCCCGCCACCCCCCACCCACGTGAAAGCAGCCTCCACTTAGTTACTTCCCCTAAGTATAAAATAGTTTTAAACTAAATTATCTGCCCCTAATAGCCGTCACTAAACCCGGCTCTACGATGTAAACATTTAGCGTGAACCACAGCTCACCAGACCATGTGGGGGTGGTTGCGATATGCCTAGACAGGAAAAAAGGGGACTGCTCGGCGCGCTTACAGCTTGTTTTCTAACGTCTACCAGAAGAGAATTATATATACGAGCCGACCCGCAGCGTATCATACGCCGCTATTTAGTTGTTTTATTTTCTACTTTTCAGTAATTCATAATGTGTGAATTCGACAGTACCAATGCTGCCACTGAAAATATTTGCTTTAAAACACTAACCCCCCCCCCCCCCCCCCTTTCCCCTAACCCCGACCCTACACCCCCTCAACCCCGTGAAAGCAGCCTCCTCTTAGTTATTTCTTAGTTACCTACTCTAAGTTTAAAATCGAAACTAAATTATCTGCTCCTAATAGAAACCCGGCTCTACGGCTCTACGATTTGTAAACATTTAGTTTGACTACAGCTCACCAGACAATGTGGGGGTGGGGTGGGGGGGTGTAGTGATAGTGATATTGATAGAGAGAAACAGAGGGGACTGCAAGGAGGCGCTTGCAGCTTGTTTTCTAACGGCTCCCAGAAGAGAATTATATATATAGATAGATAGATGAGCATACAACCAAGGGAGGAAATCTAGATTTTACAACATAGAAGGGAAACAATCAAATCTAAGCCCTATGATTTCTATATCCAGTGCTCACCAGTATGCTCGTTGCTAGTAATTTAATAGAAAGTTCATATTATTTTGGCAAAAAAAAAATGAAAGAAAATATATTTTAATAAATTAATTATATATATATATATATATATATATATATTTATATATATATATATATATATATATATATATAATATATATATATATATATTATATATATATATATATATATATTTATATATATATATTCGGATTTTGTTGTTACATTAAACTAATTTGAAAAACACACAGAAGATTACTAATTGTATTCAAACTCATGATAGCAACCGCGGCTCTTCAGTTCAATGGAAAAAATATTAATAATTATTTTTTTTTTTCTTCTTGGAAACTATTAAAAATTTTAGTCTGCCAACACTCGGTAATGAACGATTTAGTAAATATAAACAATAAAAACTCGCTATTCTATTTGCGAATTTGACATTTTTATTTTCGCAAATATCTCCCGATGAGTATTCTCAACAGCTTCCTAATGTTTCATGGCGATCAGATGAAAGGTGTAGTAATGAATAAAAGACAGACATATATATATATATATATATATATTATATATATTATATATATATATATATATATATATATATATATATATATGTATATATATATATATATATATATATATATACTACACACACACCTAATCCTAATCAAAGATCATAATATTAAAATAAAAATGTTAGTGGCTCTTTAAAAGCTGGGAAATTTTGAAAATTGTAACTTTTGGCTCTTCCGTCTCAAGAGGTTGCCGACCCCTGGCCTAACAAAGTCCTAGCTCAGAGGTCAGCAACCCTTTGAGACGGAAGAGTTAAATCTTGAAAATAAAATAATATAATTATTGCGAACAGGAGAGTCACATATTGACATCAAAAGAGCCGCATGCGGCTCGCGAGCCACAGGTTGCCGACCCCCTGCTCTAGCTCCAACCCATATGCTAACGAAATAACAGATCACAACATTGACTCGTACTCTAAACAACAATCTCAAAAAGTGCTTCTTCCAGACTCCCTTCTCCGGGGGGGGGGGGGGGGGGGGGGGGGGGGGGGGCTCCTGAGATCCTTGGGGGGGGGGGGGGGGGGGCGGACACTAGTAAAAGTGTATGTTTACTATATAAATTCCATCTCGTTAGGGGGGGGGGATGCACCCGCGGAACCCCGAAGAAAGAGATGCACGGAAGAAACTCTGAATTCTCAAACACAACTCCAACAACAATAGAAATAAAACACCGTTCAAATAGCCATTTAAAAAAAAATCCCTAGCTTTCTTAACATTCGAAACTCTAGGATGAGTGGAGAATAGAGTTATAGAGTGATGAGGGAGGGGCTAGAGCAAATATTCTAGAAACTCAATGACACAAACATAAGCAAAAGCTTGTAAAAACTGTTCCAGTCTTTAAAAAGCACTCATAACAAAATGGAAATGTGAGTTATCTATATATATAATTCTCTTCTTCGAGCCGTTAGAAAACAAGCTGCAAACGCTCTCCCTACCTCCCCACCCCTACATGGTTTTAGTGAGCTGTGTTCACTCTAAATGTTTACAAGCAGAGCCAACGATTTTAACGTAGGGGGGGGGGGGGGAGGGGGGGGGAGGAGGGGGGGAGGGAGGGAAGGAAGGGGGGGGGGGGGGGGGGTTATGGTCTTAACGAGCTACTTATAGTGTTTTAAAGAAATACGAGCCGGCCCGCGGCATAACATACGCCGCTATTTAGTAGTTTCTAATTTTCAATAATTCATTAATTTGTGAATTCGACAGTACCAACGCTGACACTGAAAATATTTCTTTAAAACACTATAAGTAGCACTATAAGGACCATAACCCCCCCCCCCCTTCCTTCCCCCCCACCCCCCCCCCCCCCCCCCCCCCTACGTTTAAAATCGTTGGCTCTGCTTGTAAACATTTAGAGTGAACACAGCTCACTAAAACCATGTAGGGGTGGGGAGGTAGGGAGAGCGTTTGCAGCTTGTTTTCTAACGGCTCGAAGAAGAGAATTATATATATAGATTTTCAGTGTCAGCGTTGGTACTGTCGAATTCACAAATTATGAATTATTGAAAATTAGAAACAACTAAATAGCGGCGTATGTTATGCCGCGGGCCGGCTCGTATTACAGAAAATACAACTTGAAAAAATGATGCATAAATAAATACTTCGTTTAATCAAAGCGTCATCATAAACTGAACGAAATTAGAACACATCCAATGGAGGCAAGCAAGTTTAATATCTCGTTTTGCATATCCAGTGCTCGCCCGTGTTTTCGTTGCTTGTAATTTAATAACAAAGAATTCATATTACCTTGTTTAAAAAAATGAATGAAACATAATTTTAAAAAAGATTATGTTAGTATATTAGGTATTTGTTGTTACTTAAAACTAATGAATACATAATTGTGTTTTGTAAATGAATAAAAGTTTCAGTGCACACTTACACTAGACTTACATTTTAAAAAAATGTTTATTCTTGTAACAGACTTATCCAATCAACCCTGCCCCATTCTTCCCTTCACCTCATTGTCTCATGAACAAAACAAGGGAAACAATCATATTAACTAACACATTTTTTTTCTCCTCAAGGTAACATTACAGCCCCAGTGTTTCTTCCAGACTTTTTTCTCCGGGGGGGGGGGGGGCACTTAAAATTTTCGGGGGGGGGGGGGGGGGCGGTAGACTTTCTTCGGGGGGGCGGACCACTGTTAAAAGTATATATTTTCTACATAAATTATATAAATTTCATTTCGTTCCGGGGGGGAGGGGGGCGGTTAAAATTTTTCGGGGGGGGGGGGAGGCTTTTGCCCCCCTCCCCACCCGAAGAGATGCCTGGAAGAAACTCTGTACAGCCCCCTTCGAAATCAGAGCCCAATCTTTTTAGGAGCACCTTCATGTTACTATTTTGTGGGAAAACAATTTATTTCTCACATTGTGACTGTAGATTCATACCGGATTCTTGCATTTAACCCCCCCCCCCCCCACCCGCCCTCTCAATCCACCCCTTTGCCCCATATTTAGTAATAAATACAAATGGTTGCTGCTGTGAGGTTAATTCAATTAGTAATAAAACAAATATAGTTAGTTACCCAGTGGCGGAACTAGAAAAAATGGGCCACCCCGCAAAAAATTTTTTTGGGGCCCCCCATATATATATATATATATATATATATATATATATATATATATATATATATATATATATATAAACACACAATACGAACATAGGATACTCATTTCTGGCCTGATCGGGTTTTGAAAAAAAAAATTCAATTAAATCTAATCACAACAACATGTCATGTGTATCAGTGGCGGAACTAGAAAAAAAAGCCCCCCCCCCCCCCGAAGAATTTTTTTGGGCCCCTATATATATATATATATATATATATATATATATATATATATATATATATATATATATATATATATATATATATATATATAACAAGGTTCGCTCTCAATTTTAAAAAAATTCCATCTGGTACACGA